CATATATATATAAAAATGACAAATGTAATATAATAATCAAAATACAATATATCACAATAATTAAATATATTAATATAAATATAATAAAATAATTAAATATAATAATGTGAATATAATACAAATCATTTAAATATAACAAAATAAAGTAATATAATACAATAAAGTAATAAAAATATAGAAAGAAATATACAATAGACATGCATATTATTTACACTTGCTATGTTTGTATTTAGATGTGTATTTTTATACATATTTTATCATCTGTAATTAAATGCGCCTTATCATAGTTTACATTTTACATTACATTTACATTCAGTCATTTAGCAGATGCTTTTATCCAAAGCGACTTACAAATGAGGACAATGGAAGCAATCAGAATCAACAAAAGAGCAATGATACACAAGGTCTCAGTTAGCAGCAGGCAGTACACATAGCAAGGTTTTTTAAAATAATATAATAAATAAAAAGAAAACAGATAGAATAGAAAAAGAATAGACCAAGCTAGTGTTAGAGGTCTTTTTTGCTTTTGTTAATTGTATAATAAATGAAAAGAAAATAAATAGATAGAATACAAAAAGATTAGAAAGCTAGTGTTAGCAAAGTCGTCAGCTGTTAGAGTTGATGAAGGAGGGGGAGGAGGAGGACAAAGGAGGGAGGAAAATGTTTTAAAGAGCATGCGAGAGTTAGACGAATTGTTAATTTTGTTATGGTAGTATGTCCTTTTAGCAGTGGAGACATTAGCAGAGAAGGAAGAGAGGAGTGACTCAACATAGTTGAACATTATATTCATAACATATTCTTTCTTATTTTCAAACTTAAAATTTAAAGTGGTAAATTAGGCTGAAATGACAATTAGGACCAATACCTGATCCCAGAGAAGTTTCTTTAGGGTTTCTACTCTATTTCAGTTTCTACTCTCTCATTTTCCGTTTGTTAAATTAGTCATGAATTTGTCCAGGAATGACGTTCTTGAGTCCAGCCTGCAGAGGTCAGCGGTTTGCGCTGGTTAAGACGAGCTGTATTTTCCCTAAAATCTCTGAGTGTCTCTCCTCTGCTTCAGCGGCATTATGAAAGCACCTCGGTCAGATGTTAACATCAAAGCTTCGCCATTTTATCATCTTGTTTACAAAGGAACAAACATTTCCTTTGAAACGCGGGCCAAGGAGATGCTACGCAACACGCCTTACATAAGACAGATCCTCCGCAGACGTCATTGTGCTGCTAATTTAATCTTATCCTGGACGGGAATTCAAAAGCCCTTCAGTGACATCTGAACAAACAAACCTTCACAAACACACACGCCGAAGACACAGAACGCAGAGCTTGTTAGCGGCTGAATAAACACACACCAGTGACAGGCTTTACTTGATTCAGCTCAGACTCCATCGCCTGAAAACAGTGTTTGAGAGAGCGAAAACTTCTTCTTTCTTCTTATTTATTTATTACATTTAATTGTTTTATTACTACATTTTTAAAACTAAATATTTGAAACTTTTATCACATTGCTTATATAAATTAATTCACATCACTGCAGCAATTTAAGAATATTAAACATTATTATTGTTAATTATTTTTAATGGTTGGTATGGATTTAACATTATTATTCATAATTAATATATGAATAAATTATTACTTATGTTTTTGTATTCATTCTCAATTAATGTGCTATTATTAATTATTATTGTTTATTAAACATTGGTGTATTTTATCTTATTGCTTATTTATAATAATGCAGCATGTTGGAGAAAAAATTTATGAAAAAAAAATTGCAGTTTTTTGCAGATATTATTAATAAAAAGAATTGATCACATATCTAATTTTATCATTTATTTAAAAAAAAATGGACAGTGTTTGAGAGAGCGAAAACTTCTTCTTTCTTCTTATTTATTTATTACATTTAATTGTTTTATTACTACATTTTTAAAACTAAATATTTGAAACTTTTATCACATTGCTTATATAAATTAATTCACATCACTGCAGCAATTTAAGAATATTAAACATTATTATTGTTAATTATTTTTAATGGTTGGTATGGATTTAACATTATTATTCATAATTAATATATGAATAAATTATTACTTATGTTTTTGTATTCATTCTCAATTAATGTGCTATTATTAATTATTATTGTTTATTAAACATTGGTGTATTTTATCTTATTGCTTATTTATAATAATGCAGCATGTTGGAGAAAAAATTTATGAAAAAAAAATTGCAGTTTTTTTGCAGATATTATTAATAAAAAGAATTGATCACATATCTAATTTTATCATTTATTTTAAAAAAAATGGTGCAATATTGCTCATATTAATTCATTTATATTCATGTGGCAAGTTTGAAAAATAGTTTATTACAACAATTATAATTACAGTTATTAATAATTGATAATATTTTAATTTAATAATAGTCAAGTCAAGTCACCATTATTTATATAGTGCTTTTAACAATGCAGATTGTCTCAAAGTTTTCAGTATTAAAAAGGGAAATAGTGTGCCGTTCTCCTCTGGCCAGACGAACCGGCAATTTAATTCTAGGCTGATTATAGGTCAGATTATAATTTTAATATTCCATTGACAAAAAAATATTATTTTATTAGTTTTATTTCTATCTATTAAATTGTACTATTATCAATTAGTGTGTGTGTGTGTGTGTGTGTGTGTGAG